TATTTCTTCTATTAGAATGTAAGCTCCTTTGGGATAGGGCTGGCCTTTAAGTTCCTATAATACCTACCTCAGTAATTAAGTCCCTCCCACATCCACCCCAAACTTCAACAAAAGATTGTAACTTGACATCTGATTGTCTGGGGTAGGGATCTGGAGTAAACAGTCTGCTCTTAGTATACAGATGTGCATTCCATAGGAGGAAGAATGTGGCTGACTTAAAACAATCCCCAAATATTGCCAATCACTCTTCTTCAAATACTCTCTGCAATTTTGTTCCTAAAGTCCTCCTTCCACCCTTGGATATAACTTCTCTGTGATACTTCACTTCCTTGTGCAATTTAAAAGGGAAAAAACAATACCTGCTCCGTTGTGAAGTGGATGCCTTTTGTTTTTACGTTAAGTAGATGTCTTTAGATTTTACGTTTACTAGGTTTGTTAAAAGCAATCCAGCAAGTTTAAAAGTGCCATACTAGAAATTATGGGGGATAAACAAATTTTAGTTTTAACTGAATTTTGTAATTCAGATACAAGTGATGGTGGTAGAAGAGTTATATATCAGAGCAGCTAACATTAGGTGCCTAGCTCATTTTTCCCATCTGTAATACTGAGACAAGAAAAAGAGCTATTATGCATCCCACAAAGATCTTATGAACATTATTAGGCAATTAAGATCATGGAATTTTGGAGGAAGAGGAAGGAAGCACATATATCTCATATAAATAGATTAAAAGCTTTCAGCACTCCTACGGCCTTATAAGAAACAGTATTACGCACCCTGATCAGTGTAGCTCCATTGGTTGAGCCTCACCTTGTGCACTGGAAGGTCCCCAGTTGGATTCCTGGTCAGAGCACAAAGCACATGCACTGGCAGTTGGAACCCTGGTCAGGACACATGCTGGAGGCAGCCAACTGATTCACAAATTGAACTTGGCATGGTTACTATCATCACCCCTTTATTTATGTTAGCTTCCTTACTCTGAGAACTTTGCATTTACAGATTCATTAATGAAGTGATCTTCAGGTTAAATGATCTAATTTAATTCTAGAATTGCCTAAAAACTTACTCTCCCCTCACCAATTAAATATGCTTTACACCAAGGTGCCCGGCTAGCTCAGTCGGTAGAGCATGAGACTCTTAAATATGCTTTACACCAGGGTATTTCTATCCCCCCTCAAAAGTACAATTCTTAAAACTAGAAGAACTATAGTAACAAAAGGGTTTAAGTATCAAATTTAGTTTGAGAAGAATGCTTCCACCTAATCAAGGCCCCACATAAGGAGAAAGGCTGCCCGTTTTTTCAGTATGATGGGAAGTGGTTATTTTGTCAAGTACGATTCAGAATGACATATTCAGGTTCAATTTAAAAAAATATATTTCACTGTTCATAGGTATCACACATAAGGAAAATTTGGCTTGGTGAAGATAAGACATAAAAATGCATGACAGTGTTCGAATTGCACACTGCTGCCTGCCAGCTTTCACATGCTCCGAGGTGTTAATAATTCAATGATTAGAATTCTGAATGAGAAAAATGAAATTTTACTACAGGTGTACCTTCTCAGTCATGGCAAAATTATTTCCACTTAAAGGACATCCCATTTCTCAACTTATAAACACTCAATTGAAAATCAGTTCCTAGATCATGTAAGCAATTACCACCAAACTATTGTCAAAACAGATATAAACCACTTTTCCTGCATAAATTAATTCTTTATGAAAAACTTTATTGAAAATTATCCCCTTCAAGGTAAACACCATTGTTATAGAATAGTAAGAAGTCTGGAAAATTCCAGAACAAGCAGAATAGGAAAACTAAGGAAGATAGTTAAACAGCAGTTTGCAGCCCCATAATAAGTCATATCTTCCCTAAACCAAGGAAACTTAAGAGGAAATGGTTTAGACACATATGTGGGCGTGAGGTGCCCCTGTGTGTGTGTGTGTGTGTGTGTGTGTGTGTGTGTGTGTAAAAGAAAGAGTAAATGTTTTGCACTTCTCTCAACCAGAGGGTAAATAACTTAAATTACCTATTCAGGGAGACAGAAATCCAATTAGTGCCATTTCCCAACCGCACCCAACAAGAGACAAATTAAGAGGATAAATCTCATCTTGGTACATTAGCATAAAGCTGGTGCAAACTCTATTGATCCCCTAAGAATTCCTCTAAAAGCCCAGCCTTTAAAACTTCTGAAAACTCAGGTCCCAGTGAGACCTCCCTCCAGGGAGCACGCCATGCCACTCCCTTTCCCCACAGGCACATTATTTCCTAAACTTCAAGGGACTTGCAACCGGGGGAGCAATGGGCAGCTACAGCTCATCCCTGGCTAACCCCCTGAATCTGTCTCCAAGGCCCCCTTTTCTCTGATTTCTCAGTGGCCTAAAGCAGACCAGCCTGCGCTCTCCTGTTGCTTTTCTATGCCCTTACTTGTCTCACGGTCCTAGTGTGTTTTTGCTACAGTCAATAAATTCCTTTTCTATGCTTGGTCTCTTGATTGAAGTCTTTCCTTCAAGAAGGCAAGAACTGAGGTCTCATTGTCTCACCGGTAAGACCATTTAAACAAGATGGGTATCTTATTTAAAGGTAACATTATTTTTGCATGGATAAAGTAGAATTGGGCGAGAAAATAATGAAATTTTGAAGGTTTTCTCTTCCAAACGTATTATTTCTTTTGAAGAAAATTACACACAATTCAGGTGAAAGTCAATACTAAGACTCTTTAGGAGAGTCTTACAGATGGTTCATTTCAAGCATGTAATTCTGTTTACTCCAAAAACCTAACCTTACCTTGGCAGCTATGGAAGACTCAAATGATCTCATGGACTGCACTTACATTATCTATTTTGTGCCAAATGTTTCGGAAATTTTGAGCATGCTTATTTATCTAAGGCTTTGAAAACAAGAATTTACAGAATGGTAAGTGAAAGGGACATACTGTAAAATAATTTTAATAACACTAGCTTTCAATTTTAACATGTGTGTTTTGCATAAAAAGGTAGTTTCTTAGCACACAATAAAATAAAGCTTTTACACTTCCTTATAGATTCTAGTTCTTACAACTTCTGGAGTCACTAAGGTGACCCTGAGGCTTAACAAAAGGTCTGACCTTAACAGCTCTTTTTTTTTTCTTTTGTAAAGAAAGTACTGCCGAAACCGGTTTGGCTCAGTGGATAGAAGTTGGCCTGCGGACTGAAAGGTTCCAGGCTCGATTCCGGTCAAGGGCACATTGAATGTACCTTGGTTGCGGGCACTTCCCCAGTAGGAGGTGTGCAAGAGGCAGCTGATCGATGTCTCATTGCTGTTTCTAACACACTCTCTCTCTCTATTCCTCTCTATTAAAAAAAATCAATAAAAAATATATATTTTTATTTTTAATATGTTTTATTGACTTTTTACAGAGAGGAAGAGAGAGGGATAGAGAGCTAGAAACATCGATGAGAGAGAACCATCGATCAGCTGCCTTTTGCACACTCCCCACTGGGGATGTGCCCTTAACCAAGGTACATGCCCTTGACCGGAATCGAACCCGGGACCTTTCAGTCCGCAGGCCGACGCTCTATCCACTGAGCCAAACCGGTTTTGGCTTATATATATATTTTAAAGTACTATAAAAAACACTGAGTCTGAGATAACACTGGTGATCTGACCTTGGACAAGTCACTCACTTCTTTCCAGTCTGTTTCTGTAACTGTAAATGAAGTCAGCCACACCTGGTAAAGGTATGGCAGGACTGATCTGAGGGTGAGATGATGTATTCAAGCATATTATATACTCTCTGTGGATGAAAGGGGGACACATACTAAACTTGACAAGCTCAGGGCAGGTCTCCATAGCTGGTCTTACAAACCCAAAGAGACCAGAGTAACCACACAGCATTGCCTGAATGTAGACATTCCTAACATAAAGCAGGCCATGGTAAGTAGTCCTGTCCTAGGCGTGTAGCTTATTCCTTGACAAAGGTCAGTCTTTACCTCTCAAATTGCCTGCGCCTTTGTGCATCTAAGGATAACATACCTTTGAAGTGTAATTTTCTTTTCTAGACCACTAAAAGGCACAACCGCCGGCACCAGGACACGAGACCATGTTGCTATCTTGTTGATCGCATACCGTCTCTATGTGCTGTAAATGTCATTCTTGTAGCTCCCAAAGTAAAAGATGTCTCTCCATTTTACTTCTTATCGAATCTCAGAAATTTTCCCGCAGTGCTTTCTCCCACCTCTCTAAGCTACCAACAATGAGTTTTATATAACCCTCTTACATCTCCTCCTTTGGTTCTAAAATGCTTAAAATAAAGCTTCGAAACAGCCATTCCCTGGAACATTTTTCTCAATCCATTGAGATTTTGCTTCCCAGCAACTGGGTCAGTTTGGCTCAAACTCTTATAAGATTTTTTTTTTTTTCCCCCTTAGGCTGGTTGTTCTTTGTCAACAACTATAATAGGAACCAGAAGTTAGATACTATTTTATTAATACTAGCCTTACCTTTCCTGTCCATGTCCCTGTTTGTAAAAGAGGTTCAGATCTAGCTTTGTACCTATCCAGTCACTTACTGGACTGTGAACTTGAGCAAGTCATTTCCTTTCGGGACTTGCTTTCTAACAAGGTTAAGACGAAGAGCGACTGATATGGTGTATGGCTAGGCTATGACAGACATAAATCAAGAACGTCATGATGGCTGCTATCACTATCTCTGAGGGAAGGAGGTATTATTCATACAGTAAACTGCAGTCGTACAAGGAAGGAGGAAACAAATGCGACCCTCGGTAGAGAGACAGAAAAAGGCAGAAAATGGGGCGCAGGCGCCTCAGTGGCTTGGAATAGCGGGAAGAATGAGAATAAGTATGGAAGTAAAAAAAAAAAAAAAAAAAAAAAAAAAAAAGGGCATTAAACACTCCGAGAATCAATCCACTATTTTTCTCCTTTTCTCTTATGACCGCTAGCCTAGAGAAGACCATTTCATTCAACTTCCCAGCCCGTCATGTCGCTGGACATGTATTTACTGTACCTTCTCACTGAGAGTCTTTTATTCCCCCTCCCCTTCTAGAAGCCGTGAACTTGAGACCCTCAGCTTCCGACACCCATCCCCTTTAACTCGGCTTTGACGAGAAAGCTTCCCTGTGTATCCTTCCTCCGCTAGGAGAGGAAGTGAAGCTGAATGGACCGCAGTGCATCCTAGGAAAGATGGTCTCTCATACTCCTTTCCTTGGGCCCCAGAGTGGGGAAGACAGCAAAGCCGATCCAGATAAGACTACAACTCCCGGCAGGCAGCGCGAGCGACCACTTCCTTTCTGCCCCCCCTTCCTATGGCCTTCCTCTTCCTCCTCTCCGCGGACGCTGGACCGCCTGGCCTCTCGGTACTTGTAGTTCCTCTAGGTCTTAGGTTTCTGGCATTCGATGGCCAAGAGGGAGGCTGGAGGACTTTAATTCCCAGAGGGCAGAGCGGAAGCTGCGCCTGCGCACTGTCAGCGAGGGCGTGTATGTCTGTGTGTCTGAGGAGAGAGAGCGAGAGTGAGTGAGTGAGTGTGAGTGCGGGATAGGGTGGTGGCCGTTACGTTCGGGGCAACGGCTCCGGCAGAGGAGAAGTAAGAAGAGAAACAACGTCCGCCGCTTCCGCCTTCGCCTAAAGAGGAGGAGGAGCTGGTAGGAAAACGAAAGCGATTCGCCCTGGGCCCGGACTAGACCGAGTTGGGCCGGTGGGGGTCTGGGCTATGAGCCTTTGAGGGTCGCTTGGGACGCGGAACCGAGACTCGAGAGCCCCGAGAGCTATGTCTCAGCCGCCGCCGCCGCCGCCGCCTCCGCTGCCGCCGCCGCCTCCTCCCCCCGAGGCACCGCACACCCCGCCGTCCCTGTCGGCGGCGGCGGCCGCTCCGGGGATGCTCTCGAAGCGGAGAGACCGAAGAATCCTCTCCGGGAGCTGCCCGGATCCCAAGTGCCAGGCGCGCCTGTTCTTCCCGGCCTCCGGTTCTGTGAGCATCGAGTGCACCGAGTGCGGGCAGCGGCACGAGCAACACCAGCTGCTGGGGGTGGAGGAGGTGACCGACCCGGACGTAGTGCTCCACAACCTGCTGCGGAACGCGCTGCTGGGGGTCACCGGGGCGCCCAAGAAGACCACGGAGCTGGTGAAGGTGATGGGCCTTTCCAACTACCACTGCAAACTGCTGTCGCCCATTTTAGCTCGCTATGGAATGGATAAACAGACGGGCCGGGCCAAGCTTCTCCGGGACATGAACCAGGGCGAACTGTTCGATTGCGCTTTACTGGGTGACCGCGCCTTCCTCATCGAACCGGAGCACGTTAACACGGTGGGCTATGGCAAGGACCGCTCCGGAAGCCTCCTCTATTTGCATGACACCCTTGAGGACATCAAGCGGGCCAACAAAAGCCAGGAATGCCTCATTCCAGTGCATGTGGATGGGGATGGACACTGCCTGGTGCATGCGGTGTCCCGGGCTCTGGTGGGCCGGGAGCTCTTCTGGCATGCCCTGAGAGAGAATCTGAAACAACACTTTCAACAGCACCTGCCCAGATACCAAGCCCTGTTCCATGACTTCATTGATGCTGCTGAGTGGGAAGACATCATCAATGAGTGTGACCCTTTGTTTGTACCTCCGGAGGGTGTTCCTTTGGGCCTGAGGAATATCCACATATTTGGTCTTGCCAATGTGTTACATCGCCCTATTATTCTATTAGATTCTCTCAGTGGCATGAGAAGCTCCGGTGATTATTCGGCCACCTTTCTGCCTGGGCTCATCCCTGCAGAGAAGTGCACTGGGAGAGATGGGCATTTGAACAAACCAATTTGTATTGCATGGAGTAGCTCTGGTAGAAACCATTATATTCCCTTGGTAGGTATAAAAGGGGCTGCCTTGCCCAAATTGCCTATGAATTTGCTTCCAAAAGCATGGGGTGTGCCTCAGGACCTTATTAAAAAGTACATCAAACTTGAGGAGGATGGTGGTTGTGTTATTGGAGGAGACAGAAGCCTACAGGATAAATACCTACTTAGGCTTGTTGCTGCTATGGAAGAAGTCTTTATGGACAAACATGGTATCCACCCCAGTTTGGTTGCTGATGTTCATCAATATTTCTACAGGAGGACTGGGGTGATAGGAGTGCAGCCTGAAGAAGTCACAGCAGCTGCTAAAAAAGCAGTAATGGATAATCGCCTTCACAAATGTTTGCTCTGTGGTGCCCTTTCTGAACTTCATGTTCCTTCAGAGTGGTTGGTTCCAGGAGGAAAGCTATATAACCTGGCCAAAAGTACTCATGGACAGCTGAGGCCTGACAAAAATTATAGCTTTCCCGTGAACAGTGTGGTTTGCTCATATGACTCAGTGAAAGATGTACTGGTACCAGACTATGGGCTGAGTAGCCTACCAGCTTGTAATTGGTGTCATGGAACATCCGTGCGAAGGGTCAGAGGAGATGGGTCTATTGTGTATTTGGATGGGGACAGAACTAATTCGAGGTCCACTGGTGGCAAGTGTGGTTGTGGATTCAAACATTTTTGGGATGGTAAAGAGTATGACAATCTACCAGAAGCTTTTCCTATTACTTTGGAATGGGGTGGCAGAGTGGTCAGAGAAACAGTATATTGGTTCCAGTATGAAAGTGATTCATCTTTGAATAGTAATGTTTATGATGTTGCAATGAAACTTGTTACCAAGCACTTTCCTGGTGAATTTGGGAGTGAAATCTTAGTTCAGAAAGTTGTCCACACTATCTTGCATCAGACTGCCAAAAAGAATCCTGATGATTATACTCCTGTAAATATAGATGGTGCTCATGCTCAAAGAGCTGAAGATGTACAAGGACAAGAGTCAGAGTCTCAGCTCCCAACTAAAATTATTCTTACTGGACAGAAAACAAAAACTTTGCACAAGGAGGAGTTAAACATGAGTAAAACAGAAAGAACTATTCAACAGACTATTACGGAACAGGCTTCTGTAATGCAGAAACGGAAAACAGAGAAGTTAAAACAAGAACAAAAAGGGCAGCCCAGGACTGTTTCTCCCAGTGCCATTCGGGATGGTCCATCCTCTGCACCTGCTACCCCTACCAAATCTCCCTATTCACCCACAACTTCTAAAGAGAAGAAAATCCGAATAACAACTAATGATGGACGGCAGTCCATGGTTACACTTAAGTCTACAACAACTTTTTTTGAACTTCAGGAAAGCATAGCCAGAGAATTCAACATTCCTCCATATTTACAGTGTATTCGATATGGTTTTCCTCCTAAAGAGTTAATGCCACCCCAGGCAGGAATGGAAAAGGATCCAGTTCCTTTGCAGCATGGTGACAGAATTACAATAGAAATTCTAAAAAGTAAAGCAGAAGGTGGCCAGTCTTCTGCAGCACACTCTGCTCACACTGTGAAACAAGAAGAGATTGCTGCTACCGGTAAACTGTCATCTAAGGAACTTCAGGAGCAAGCTGACAAAGAAATGTACTCCTTGTGTCTTTTAGCAACGTTAATGGGTAAGATGAATTTAACTCAGATGGTATTTCTTAATGGTGAATATAATACACTTTTTTTCTGTTTCTGTAAAAAAAAATCTGTGGTCATCATAAAAACTATTTTAGAAGAAAATTATTTTTAATCTTTTTGACAGTTAATGGCTAGATATTTGTGTGATTCTCTGACATTTGAGCAAATATAAAACATAACTAAAAAGTGAAAATAGGAGATGGGTCTATTGTGTATTAGGATGGGGACAGAACTAATTCGAATGTTCGACAGAACATTCTCTTATATTTGAGCAAATATAAAACATAACTAAAAAGTGAAAATAGTCTGTTAACTATCACCAGATTATTTAAATATATATTTTTTAATTTAAAAAAATATTGACCTAATTGGGTGGTATTGGTTAATAAAATTATATAGATTTTAGGTGTACAATTCTATAATTCATCTTTATATTATATGTGTGTTCATCACCCCAATAACTTATTAATCTTTTAAATAGGCTTGTAATGTATCCATTTAAAGCCTTTTTCATTTCCCCCCTTGGTTCTATTGAACTTGCCCACCTTTCTTTCCCTTTCTCATTTATTTTTAAATTTTGTTTTCCTGCATGTCATGTGATTTCAGGACTTCCTGTTTGATGAATTGCAGTTTCTGGTGTTATTCACACCACACTCCCACCTGATAGTGTCTCTCCTCCATTTCCTGTTCTCCCTTCCCTAGTTCATCACATTTTTCTTATTTGTACATTAGGATTAGTGTTCAAGTAATTTCCTTACTCAGTGACTGCCATAATTGTAATGAACTGTTGTAACTCATAAGAAACATGAAGAACAGATGTAGATGATAATGAAAATGAGGCTTAAAGTAGCAGTAAAATTTAGATCTCTTACATATTAGAAGGGCCTTATTTTTCTGATACTAGAGCTTCCACCTAGAAAAGTGATCTGTGATTTGAATATGTTTCCAAGAATGCTAAATATCAGTGAATTGGACCTTGACCTTCCAAAATGAAGATTATTTATTCTTGGCTTGTTAAATTATTTTTAACAAGCCAAAGGGGGGAGGAGGGGTTGTAGTTAATAGATCTCAAAATCCTGTACAAATTTATAACTTGATATTGCTGATTTTATTTTAGCAGTCATTGAATTGGGGGATATGTCAAGAAATGTAGGCATTTTATATATTTCTGTCTTAGAGCTTTTAGTTTCTTAGAGACTGCATGGAATAGAGGAAATATTGTGTGATCTTTGGAGTCAGAAAGATCTAGAATTTTAATCTCATCTCCACTACTTACTTTGTGATTACAAGTAAGCTGCTTAACTTCCCAGTACTTAAGTTTCCTCCTCTATACAAAATACCCCTTGTAGTTAGTATACAAAGTAAATTTATTACTCCCAGGACTCTGAAAATTAAATAACATCAGCACAAAATGGATAAATTAGATATTTTCAGAAGGCACTTAAAAACAAAAAGCAATCTCCTAAATTAAAAACAGAAAAGAGGAAGCTTTCCTCAATAGAAGATGAATTTTTGAGAATGTGGTTCAGATCATAACTAACCTTGGATGCTCAGCACCTAATATAGTGCCCAGCAGATAATGGGTACTCTGAAATGTTTTTGAATTAAATACATGACATTAACATATCTCAAAAAAGGCTATTCGAGCAGAAATGGAATGGATGGTCAGCACAGAACATTGAAAAAGACTTGAAAAGCAGAATTTGGCTCTGTTTATACTCTGCTGCACAAAAGAAAAAGATAAATAA